GAAGAGAGTGTTTGCATAAAAGTAAAGTTGAGATAGAGTAAAATGATGCTAAAGGAAAAATGAAAATAGAATGTAGAACACTAATCCCAAAATAAAATAAAGAAAAAATAAAATGAAACTTTAAAAAAATGTAAAATAATAGTAGTAATAATACTAATTAAAAAATAAAAACATAATAATTAAAAAGTAAAATCAAGTGAGATAAAAAGAAAAAAATTAGTTTCTTAAGTAAAAGATAAAAAATAAAAATGTGCAGTAGTGAAGGTCACTCACTTTTTCTACTGTTCTGCGTTGCAGGCCTGTTTCTTGTCAGGTGATCAAGACAGTATTGAAGTTCCCTGCATTCCACCACTCCTCTGTTTCTTAAGCCACAATCCTGTTTTCAAGCAGGTGGTATTTCTTTGTTTCTCAGCCTGCCTTTAGTTGTATTTACACAAGAGACAATTTGTGATTCAACCCCTGGGTGGCAGTGTTTCTGTATTGACATCTGGTATCTCTACCCAGTATTTAGATGTTGTTTTTCCTGCCACCCTTAATACTGGGTTTGGGAAATTGACTTCCCCAGAGCTGATTTCAGATCTTTTCTCCCCACTCTGATCCCCAGGCTCCACAAAATCAACTTTTCCCTTCAGTCTCAGAGAGTGTTTTTAATTGGGAGATTCTTTGTACTGGACTTATGCATCAAAAGCAAGGGCGTGAACTCATTACTTTTTCCTCCGGCACTGTGCATGACTATGCCCACATTTCTGTGCACGTCTTTTCCCCCTGGCACTGCACAGCCTGTATACTGGTAGAGCTTCAGGCTGCCTTTCTGTGCCCAGCCCAGCCATAGTTTGATTTCTAGAGTTCTTTCCTGTCCGCAGCCCTGTAGACCCCCTTCCACATTCACGAGCTATGCTGACCCCAATGTGGATTTTGTGTGGTGCAGATTTCTGAAACTCTAGATCCTGCTGCCTGCATTTCTCCCTCCAGCCTGGATCGCAGACCTCACCTTTCTTTAGGTGTTACCTGACTTCCGTGAGAAGATGCAGGGCTCATCTGAGTCTGCCAATTTGTGTTGTTTAAGACCTGGTATTCATGGGTTCTCAGCTGGTCCCTGGGTATTATGGTTGCAGGGTCCTGGGAGGTATCTGAGTTCTTCCTGGTTGAAGATAAGGCTAGACTTTCAATCACAGCCTCTCTCCCCTTCAAGATGTTGCCATCTCTGCAGTAGAGCTGGTTGCTGGGAGAGATTTCAGCAGCCGTGGAGACTGCCAGTCAGGGGAGCCTGGTCCGGCAGTCCCCAAGAGTCCCTTGGAATATAGCTGTCCCTCACTCAAAATAGACAGTCCCTGTATGTCCACACACTCTCCTTGTTTTCTCACTCATACAGAATCTTGCAGCTTGCCTTCCAGTCTGCAGCCATTTTCTCTCAACATTTTCTCCTGTGTGTGTCACTTGTCTTTCGTTAAGTGATCTGTTGTCCTTTTCCTCCTGACCTTTTTTCACTCTGGTACATGTGTGCTGCTTTTTAGTTCCACGTCATTATTTATTATGCTCCCATTTCCTAGATAGTTCATGTTCTTCCCTTCCATTTAAATTTTATTATTTCTCAAAGTCAACATTAAAACTTGTAATTCTGAGGTCTTCTTTGCCCTGGACTATCTCTCAATGTGAACTCTTCTTCCCTGGGTGTTTCATCTACATTATCTGTCTCACAGATTATCCTTCATAAAAGAGACCTGGGTTTTTTCCATTTCCCTCTACTCCTATTTGCTGGTGATAGAACAACAAACACTTACTGAGTGCTAACTGCGGGCCAGGCTTTCAATGTAGTATTTTATTTAACTCTCACAACAATCTTATGAGGTAGATTTTTGTTCTTTATTTTACTTATTAGTGGCCTGGTGCCTGAAATTTGTGCACATTAAAAGGTGATTAATTAAAGGAAACATTTTAATATTGCTATTTACCCTTTCTCTATAATAGAAGTGTCAGAGATGAAAGAAAATTAGTAAAATGTATATGAAAATATTCCTTCTGTCAGAGTCTGGGGCATGCCGTGGGACCTAGAGTCAAGTCCCCACCCACTTGCAGTGCCTCAAAATTGCTCATGACCCAGACCCAACCCGTCCCATCCTCTCTGGGTGAGATCCAGACCCAGCTGGCCCCACCTTTTTCAATCCCCACGGGGTCGGGGGCATAGCCTAGATCCACCAGCCTGGCACCGGGCAGGGGGCCACAGCCTCAGGTTCCCCAGCCTGTGGTGGGGGGAGCATCCTGAGGTCCCCCAGCCTGGTCCCAGGGCTGGGATGTGGCCTGATGTCTCCTGTCAAGCCTCACCAGATGGGTGGCATGGCCTGATTTCCCCCTTAAAGCCCTGCTGGGCGAGGGGCACAGCCTGTGGTTCCTTGGCCTGGTGCTGGGTGTGGCCTGAGGTTCCCTGATGCTGGGGTGGGGGGTTCTCCTGGCCAGGGGGGTTGGAGCAGTCTGAGGGCCCCTGGCCCAACACTGGCCGGGGCAGGGCACAGCCTCAGGTCTTCCAGCCTGGTGCCGGGGTGGGGGGTAAGGGCATGGCCTGAGGTCATCCAGCCCCGCTGGGGTGGGGAGAGTGGCCTGAGATTCCCTGTCAAGCCCCACCGGGCAGGGTGGGGTGCAGCCTCAGGTCCCTGGTTCAGCCCAGCGCCACACAGCCTCGGGTCCTGCCAATTGCTTCTTAAGGCTTTTTACAAGAACGTGACCTCCGCTGTGGTGCAGCCATCTTGTGTTACGGAATCTCTGCTTCAGTTGTGGGCACAGCCATTTTTGTTATGGCATAATGATCAATTTGCATATACCCTCTTTATTAGATAGGATGAGGAAGCTGAGTCACTGAGAGGTTAAATATCTTGCTCAGGGTAGCAGAGCAGGGATATGAGCACAGTCTAGCCTCAGCACACAAACTAGTTACTCATTTCACTGAGTTGCCTAATGTGCTTAAAGAGAATTGTTATCACATATTTATTTATATTTAGAATATTTGGCTGTGTCGCCGTGGCAGGTCCTTATGCTATTAACACATTAACCCCTCGTTAAGTCCTTTTAAAAGGTCATTGATTCAGTTTTATGGAGCTGATAAATCCCACTTAGAACTTTCTAGCAAATCACTGATACAACCAGTATTAAAAGTTAATATTCCCTAAATCATAGTTATCAGGGAAAAAGAGCACACTTCCAACTAAGCTTCAGACCACCGAGCTCTCAGTTATGAACAGGTTCCTTTAAGTTGACTGTGTAGAACTTCTTTTCTGGAGGAGAATACATTTCATTCAATTTGGTGTTTAAGTTCTTAGGGCAGTCACAGTGAAACATTTGCTTTAGAAATACAGTGGTGGTTTGCTACTTGGACTAAAGGAGCAAAGTGATATTTGTTCACTGACACTCTTGGCTTCATGTGGGGCACTGTGAAATGAGTTTCTCTGTTAAATTCAGAGTTCCTTATGGGGCCATCAGGAGCACAGCCACATTCTGAAGCCAGGTACCCAAGAGCTTCCTTGCCTTCCCTCTTTCTTCCCACATCCCTGCTGACCACCTGAGTGGAGGAGTTCTTTGGCCTACACCACATGCAGTGTACCCTGGTGAACTGCAAGGTAGGCTTACTGCTAGGGATGGCCAAGGATTGGGAGCTCCCAAGGTTAAGGAATTCTAGAAATAAAATAAAGGTTTTCTAGTCACATCTTTTTTTTCCCCTCCAATACCAGATAGTACCTGTTTGCTTCTTTTCCCACTGTTGTTACACTTTGCTTTGCTTTGCTCTGTGTGCACGTGTGTGTGTGTGTGTGTGTGTGTGTGTGTGTGTGTGTGTGTGTGTGTGTAAACTATTACACAGACACAGAAATATAGATTAAAATACTCGGTTGGAGTGGCATGTCATCATATGCACCAAAAGGTGGCAGGTTCGATTCCTGGTCAGGGCACTTACTTAGGTTGGGGCGTGTACAGAAGGCAATTAATTTATGTTTATCTCTTTTTCTCTTTCCCTTTCTCCCTTCCTCTCTTGCTCTTCTTTCTAAACATATCCTTGGGTTAGGGTTAAAAAAATTTCCTGGTAAGTGTGATAATTGCAAAGATAACTCTGTTCTTAGGAGATAAGTAGTGAAGAATTTAAAATGAAGTGTTGTGATGCCTACAGCTAACACTCAATTCTAAAATGGGTGGGGAGGAGAAGAGAAGGGAATGATAATGGCAGTGTGTTGACAATTGGTGAATCTAGATGAAAAGTAAGTAAGTGTTCATTGAGTATTTTACTTGTAAATTTAAATTTTTTTCAAAATAGAAGTTGGGAAAAATTAAATTTCATTTTTATATGTCAGGAAATAGCAAAGAGTGAGATCCAACTCTTTATGCATTATCCTACTGTGCTGTATTAAACAGAGTTGCTACTAAAACAGATGATAAAACTGTAAGATGATTGTTTTTTAAAATATTGTTTAAACTGATTTGTTTGAGTTTAGACGTTTTAATCATACTGGTATAGCAAATGTCTGTGGGTTGGCTCTCCAAGTGAAACATACATTAATAATCATTTTGTGCTAATTGTTGCGTTCTAGGAAAATAAAATTGGATTTTTACAAAACTATTGACTAGAGTTGCAGAACTCTTTTTCTATATCATACTAAAAAGGTGAGCAAAGTAATTTATAGAAGTTATACTCCATGTAGTCTAGTTTCATAAAACTTAGGCCAAATGTTTTTGTTTTTTGTTTTTTTACTGAAAGCATTTCTGGTGCTTGAATACTAATGTTTTTATTTTACATAAAAGGATAGAAGACCCATTGTTCTCATAGCAGGTGTCATTTTTTTCAAATTTTAGTTATTTTAACCAAGCACATAGGAAGTTAAATTCCAGTAGTCATGCAATGAATTTATAATAGTAGTAGATTCACAGTTACTGACTCTGTTTCTTCTCCTGAACATTAATATGTGATTTCTCATTAAAACAACATAGAAAAACATCTAACAATAACAAACTTCTTCTAACAGCAAAAGGAAGAACCGAGCTTCTAAAGATCAATCTTCGTGAGGTTGAATTGGATCCTGATATTCAACTGGAAGATATAGCAGAGAAGATAGAGGGCTATTCTGGTGCTGACATAACTAATGTTTGCAGGTATTTTTTAAATGATCTGTGACCTTAGAGATTAGTTATATATTTGGCAAGAGGACTGGTCTCAAAGATAGTGTAGTTATTAGTCCTTCTCATGAAAGCAGCAACTCATTTCCTTGAAATGATCTCCCAATTTTTCTTGTATTTTTTTGTTGTTGTTTGTTTGTTTTTCTCTCTCTACATAATTTCATTGTTCATTGTTAGATGAATAATTACATAACACTATGGTCACCTTTTCTATCCTGTGATTTTTAAGAAATTGTTGTCTCTATCTTTATAATGACATTGATGACCTAATTATGACTTCCACTACCTAAGGTTAATTTAGCCCTATGCCGAAACCAGTTTGGCTCAGTGGTAGAGCGTTGGTCTGCGGACTGAAAGGTCCCGGGTTTGATTCCGGTCAAGGGCATATACATTGGCTGCGGGCACATCCCCAGTGGGGTTTGTTGCAGGAGGCAGCTGGTCGATGTTTCTCTCTCATTGACGTTTCTGGCTCTCTATCTCTCTCCCTTCCTCTCTGTAAAATATCAATAAAATATATTTAAAAAAAATTTAGCCCTAAATTGTAGCCTATTTGCATCAACGTGTAAAATCACATCCCTTAGTTTTGGTTGGCATTATTTTAACATTTGCAGATGATTAAAGTTGACCAATTAAAGCTGTGAAAGATACATTAAAATTTCCTTTTAATTTAGTGATATTATAATTTTTAGGTAATCTACCTCACTCAATGAAGAGGATTTTTGTTCTTTTCTTATTTTGCTAATGGTACTTAATTTGACTTCAGTGGCCTTTTTTTTTTTAATATATATATTTTATTGATTTTTTACAGAGCGGAAGGGAGAGAGATAGAGAGCTAGAAACGTTGATGAGAGAGAAACATCGACCAGCTACCTCTTGCACACCTCCTACCGGGGATGTGCCTGCAACCAATGTACATGCCCTTGACCGGAATTGAACCTGGGACCTTTCAGTCCGAAGACCGATGCTCTACCACTGAGCCAAACCAGTTTCGGCATCAGTGGCCTTTCTTTAAAACAACAACATCCATATTTCTGACTTTTTCTACCAGTATTTTTCCTGTGTGCATCTAAGTTTAGTGGCACATGGTAAACTCATAGTAATTTCTATTATCACTGTAGTAAAGTATGGAAGAATCTGAAGTTTTGGTTGGCTTGGCATCCTAATAGCTTTCTCATGAGCACTAATTGTCCATTTTTTTTCTAAACCTTCATAGTGATTTACAAGTCTTCAAAGTGGAACTGAAAATAAGATCTGAAGTCAGATTTGCAAATAAATTCATGTTCTAAAGAGAGGTTCCTGGCTTTTCCTCCATTAATTAGATTGTAAACAAACTGGTAGAGATTTGAATTATACCCTCTAATACTAGAGGCCCAGTGCATGAAATTTTGCACGGGGTGGGGGTGGGGGTGGTCCCCTCAGCTTAGCCTGCACCCTCTCCAATCCGGGAGACTCAGAGGATGTCCAACTGATGGTTTAGGCTCGATCCCAGGGATCAGGCCTAAACCAGCAGTTGGACATCCCTCTCACAATCTGGGACCACTGGCTCCTAACTGCTTACCTGCCTGCCTGATTGCCCCTAACTCCCCCACTGCCAGCCTGCGCACTCCTAACTGCCTCTGCCTGCTGGCCTGATCATCCCTAACTTCTCCCCCTGCTGGCTTGGTTATCCCCCAATTGCCCCCACCCTTACCAGCCGGGTTGCCCCCAACATCCCCATTCCTGCCAGCCTGGTTACTCCTAACTGCTCCCCCCTCCCCCCAACCTGTGGGGAGGGGGGAGCAGCCCTCAACTGACCCCTCTGCCACCTTGGTTGCCCCAACTGATCCCCTCTGCTGGTCTGGTCACCCCTAACTGCCTCCAACCCCCAGCAACCTGGTTGTCCTTTATTGCTCCTCCCTGCCAGCCTGGTCACCCCCAACTGAGCCCCCTGTTGGCCTGGTTGCCCCTAACTTCCCCTTCCTGCCAGCCTGGTCACCCCTCACTGTCCCCACTGTTGGCCTGGTTGCCCCTAACTGACCCCCTGCTGGCCTGGTCGCCCCCAGCTGCCCCCTGTTGACCTGGTTGCCCCCAACTGCCCACCCTACTGGCCTGGTCACCCCTCACTGCCCCACCCTGCTGGCTTGGTTGTTGCCAACTTTTCCCCTGCCAGCCTGCTTTTCCCTCACTGCCCCCCTCTGCCAGCCTGGTTGCCCCTCACTGCCCCTCCTACCGGCCTGGTTGCCCATGTAGCCTGCTGTTCAGTCATTTGGTCATCCCTCACTAACTCCCCTGCTGGCCTCATCAGCCCTATGCAGCCTGCTGTTTGGTTGTTACTATGAGGGTGTTCTGACCAATTTGCATGTTACCATTTTATTAGTATAGATTACCTGAGTCCAGTATGGACTTTTAGGGTTCATTAACAATATATTTTATGTTTAAGTCCTTTCCATTCTTTTTTAACCTTTCCTGAACTATCAGGATGTCTCTGAGGTAGAAAATTCTACACAGCATCATAAAATCATATGACATGATCTTTTGAATATTTTCCCTTAACTTTGTTACAACTGAAATTGTTTGTAGCATTTGCACTAATAAATATTCACTGACTGTGGTACATTTTCAGGGATGCATCCTTAATGGCAATGAGACGGCGCATCAATGGCTTAAGTCCAGAAGAGATCCGTGCACTTTCTAAGGAGGAGCTTCAGATGCCTGTTACCAAAGGAGACTTTGAGTTGGCTCTTAAAAAAATCGCCAAGTCTGTCTCTGCTGCAGACTTGGAGAAGTATGAAAAATGGATGGTTGAATTTGGATCTGCTTGAATTTCTTCCATTTCTGGTATTTTTGTTTATAAAATGTGAAGAAATTTCTTCATTTAACAAGAATAGGTTTGGAATTTTTCATTGGAGAGATTTTCACTTAAAGGCAAATAATCTGAAACCACGGAGTATAACTGTAGCTGAACATTGAGAAAAGCTCACATAAAGAGCCGGACGCGTTAACATTGCGCCGCCACGCAGGGAGCCAGGCGGCAGACGAAAGGGTCAGTGTGCTGTTGTGGAGACTTGTTTACGAATGTTCAGAAGGACCTCTGTTTCTCACTTGAGTTTGTTGTCTTTTCAAAAACAAAAAACAAAAACGTTTTTATCAATTTTTAGAGAGAAAGAAAGGGAGAGGGATAGAGAGACAGAAACATTGATGAGAGAAAAACATTATTGATTGGCTGCCATCTGCATACCCCCTACTGGGGATCAAGTCCACAACCTGGGCATGTGCCCTGACCAGGAATAGAACTGTGACCTATTAGTTTGTGAGTCGATACTCAACCATTGAGCCACACTAGCTGGGCAGTTGTCTTTTTTCTTTGTGTGTGTGTGTTTCTATTCTTTCCTCTGAACATGAAGGACCTACATATGTTGACTTTTAACATTAAAACTGACTTTGTATCAGATTCATCATTTGTTGTTAAGAATGATAGTTTTGGATTAAATAATGAATTTGTTAGTTAAACCTCTAGAATTCAGGTACTCACTGTTGGAGTCTATCATATGGTTTGAACTTTTACCTTTCCTTCCCCCACCATTTTTTTTTTCTATTAGCTATTTAGTCATTTGTTGAGCTCCAGGCAAGAATATCCTAATGCTTTGTGGTTTTTGAACCATTTTACCAGGTTGTTTCTCTGGTCTTTAGTATTTTTTGCTGATACTTCTCAGATTTCATATTGAAAGGATGGGGAGAATATTATGATACAATGTATTTCTTCATTCTAGACCTTTCCGTTTTCACTTTTCTTTCAATGTAGTCAAACAGGTAAACCCATTATTTTTTTCAGGTCCTACACTGTTTGATTTTTGTTGAATTTGACTTTTGTATTCTGAACAAGACCACTATCTTGAGCTAATACAAAACAAACAAAACAAAATCTATAGTTTTCCAGACAGCTTAATAAAATAACTTCATACATAATGAAGGGTGTTTATTTGAAAAATTTTAAATTGTTCTTTGTCAAGGTTGAGAACTTGTACACATGATAAGAAGATTAAGATGGAAACTTTGTCATGCTCATTCAGCTTAGCAGAAATTAGACAGAAGGAGGCCAGAAAAAGTAGATGGCATATATCTAATCATCAGTGGAGTGAGTTTCCTGGTTCAAAATTAAAATTACAGTTTTTAAAAATTGCATTTATCCTGTTTTGATTGGGCAATCTATGCTTTGATGATCAAGCTTTTAAAATTTGTATTTGTTAATATTCCGAGTTCTCAATTTTGGAGAGCACCTACTGGTTTAAAATTAAAAATAATATAACTCATTAGACACTTAAAAAAAAAAACCTAAGTATCTTGAATTTTTTTTCCTACTAAGAACTATTTAATTTTGAGTTAAGTCTGACACTGAACTCCAGTATTCATATAATGCTGTAAGTTACCCCCCTTTTCTCTGAGGCACAGATTATAGGAGTTAAAATAATTTATTAAGATTCTAAGATTTTAAAATCATGATTTTATTTTAGTTGAATTCATTCATCTTAAAAATTGAGATGAGAGAAGTTTCCTTTTATTCATTTTTTTCTGCCCATTTTTTATTTTTAAATCATTCTTATTTTTCAATTATAGTTGACATGCAATATTATATTAGTCTCATGTGTATACCCCAGTGATTAGACATTATATGACTTACTAAGTGATCATCCTGATAAATCTTGTACCCATCAGACACCATACATAGTAATTAGAATATTATTGATTGTATTCCTTGTGTTGTACATAACTATTCTGTAATTACCAATCTGTATTTTTTAATCCCTTCATCATTTTCACCTATCCCTTAATCCCCTTCCCATTTGGTGACCATCAGATTATTTTCTGTATCTATGAGTCTCTTTCTGTTCTGCTTGTTTGTTTATTTTGTTTTTTAGATTTGGTTGTTGTTAAGTATTTCTTGCCATTTTATTGTTCACATTTCTGGTCTTTTTCTTTTTCTCCTTCTTCAAACCCTTTAAATTTTAATGTAATACTGGTTTGATTGTGGTGAACTTCTTTAGCTTTTTCTAGGGAAGCTCTTTATATGCCCTTCAATTCTAATTGACAGCTTTGCTGGGTAGAGTGTTCTTGGTTGTAGATTCTTACTTGTCAGATGGGTACAAGATTATCACTTTGAATATTTCTTACCACTCCCTTTTGGCTTAAAATGTTTCTGTTGATAAATCAGTTGACAGTCTTATGGGAGCTCCCTTGTAGGTAACTAACTGTTTTTCTCTTGCTGCTTTTAAGTTTCTCTCTTTATCTTGATCCTTTGACATTTTAATTATGATGTTGTGTTTATGTGGGTCTCTTTGGATTCATCTTGTTTGCAACTCTCTGTGCTTCCTGGACTTGTAAGTCTATTTCCTTCACCAGGTTAGAAAAGTTTTCTGTCATTAATAGGTTTTCAATCTTTCTTTCTCTCTTCTCCTTCTAGCACCCTCATGATGTGAATGTTGTTATGCTTGAAGTTGTCCTAAAGGCTCTATACACTATCGCATATTTTTGGAATCTTTTTTCTTTTTATTATTCTGATTGGATGTTTTCTTTTGCTTCCTTATATTCCAAATTGTTTATTTGATTCTCAGAATCCTCTACTTTACTGTTGAATCCCTATAAATTAATCTTTATTTCAGTTAGTCTATCCTTGATTTCTGACTAGTTCTCTATTGTGGTTTCCATGTCCTTTTATATACTGTTGAATTTCTCACTAAGTTTATCTACTTTTCCCCTAAGTTCATTGAGCATCCTTAGAAACAGTGTTTTGAACTCTACATCTAGTAGATTTCTAGTCTCCATTTTGTTTAGTTCTTTTTTTGAAGTTTGTTCTATTATTTAACGTTTCTTTTTTTTTAATTAAAATAAATAATCCCACTAATAATTCTTTCGAATTATTGCCATCCAGTAACATTTTTCCCCCTGATGTCCGAAGGGCAATCATTAAAACATTAGTGTTTTGACTGCTAGAACTTGTTTGTATACTTTAGTTGATTAGTTGCAGCATTTTTTAGGTTTTATGTTACTTGTCTTGGCATGCATTTCATTTAAAAAAAATTCTTCATGGATAATGATATGGTGATTGTAATTTTAAAAAATTTTTAGTTAAGCAGTGTTTGGAAACTCCAACTTCCTGGAAACTTACCTTTTCCAAGTTAAGTGAATCAGGTGTGCTCTATTATTTCCTTTGTTTCTCATTTTGCTCCATCATTGCACGGTGAATACTCTGTATTATTTTCAACCCCTTGAACCATCCTGATGAGACCCTGCAGGTGTTCTATCTGGCCTTGGCAGTACATTGTGTGTACACCATCTTTAGTGCCAGACAGAGTGTTGCCTTACTAAGAATGAGAGCATTATTGTGTTTTGCTGAGTTACCAAATTAGAAAGGTTTGGTTCTTCTAATTCATCTGAAACCATGAGTATTTTGGGTTTTGCAACACAGTGTTGTTAGGACTCAGCTGTGCCGTTCTGTCTTGCAAACAACTGATCAATAGTAGTTGTGTTCACCAGACTTGCTTTGGGTGTTTACTGTGTATAAGAACCTGCTTAGGGGCTCTGTGCTTACATTGTTGGACCAGGCAGCATAGATTGTATTGGGCACTTCTCATAACTACTGTACACAGTGTAGTGTTTGGCTCCAACTAATGAAACTAATTCACATAAAAAATGGAGAGATACAGTCGTCTGGGTGTGCTTTGGAAAGATAACAAGTAAAAGATTTTCTTTTTTTCTCTCTGTAAATCTGTTTTAAAGTTAGAACTGATATCCATTTATTAGAACAATACAATTTATAGACCTGGCTATATTTATTAGTCATTTTTTGTCATTTCCCAAGCTACATATTTATTGTAAACATGCACACATGTAACTATGGTAGACATGTAAACATGTTATATGGTGTTTGTAAACATTTGCTGTCATAATTTTTTCATTTTTTGAAGAAATTAATATTGATAAAATACAACAAACAAGTAACTCTTTAATGTAGACTGAAACCCTCTAGTAATGCAAGTAAATAACAGATAATGACATCACAGACTTCATCTTCTGGTCAGTAGCATAATAGGTATTGCAGAGTAACCAAACCTACCTGGGCATGGACTCCATCTCTAGAAATACCAGGACAGCTTGGTAGAGGACACACATGTGGTCTAGCTGCATAATAATTGAAGGGCTTTTTCTGAGCTCCTGAGATTGTAATTTTATGCTGCAATATTTGGCTGTAAAAAAAAAAATAGGCTGGCCGAAACTGGTTTGGCTCAGTGGTAGAACGTCGGTCTGCGGACGGAAAGGTCCCGGGTTTGATTCCAGTCAAGGGCATGTACCTTGGTTGCAGGCACATCCCCAGTGGGGAATGTGCAAGAGGCAGCTGGTTGATGTTTCTCTCCCATCGACGTTTCTAGCTCTCTATCTCTCTCCCTTCCTCTCTGTAAAAAAATCAATAAATTATATATTTAAAAAAAAATAGGCTGGTCCTGGCCAGGTGGCTCAGTTGATGGGAGCAATGTTCTGTATGCCAAAAATATTGCAAATTGGATTCCTGGTCAAGGTACATATCTAGGCTGTGGGTTCGACCCTGGTCAACGTTCATTTCGGGGACAACCAATTGATTTTTCTTTCTCACATTGATGTTTCTCTATTTCCCTCTCCCTCTCACTTTCCCATTTCCTCTATCTCTAAAAACAAACAAACAAACAAAAAACCAAACCAAAACAAAACAAAACAAAAAACCATATTTTTGGATGAGGATTAAAAAAAAAAGAGTAGGCTAAAATCACTAATTACTCAAAAAATGAGCAGT